TTCAGCCTGTCAATCTCCGCCCTCTGCCTGTCCGCCGTGCTCTGCATGCCTGAGAGGCGAGCCTGGTGGTCGCCGCTGCCGCTCGCGTTCGGGTCGCCCCGAGAGGCGCGGCGCTCCTCGTCGAGCTCGCGCCGCTCCATCAGCGCCAAGCCCCCCCTGCGAAGCTCGTCCGTCACGAACGCGACGAGCGACGGCGCGATGCACGCCAAGCCGCGCGTCTCTCCCGCGCCCAGGTACAAATGTGAACCTTCCAAAAGCTCGTCGGCCCCCGATGTCGTCAGCATCCTGTCGCGGTGCCGATGCTCCGCCATCTGCAGACGGCGGCGCACCAGCTCCGCGCATGCCAGCTCGCTGGCGTTGAGCTGGTCACAGGTGAGCAGGAGATGAATGATGCGGCAGCACAGCTCATGCACGGCGACGCCCTGGTCGCTGCTGGACAACCCCGTCTCCGCCTTAAACTTCGCGCGCCGCGAGCGGAAGGTCACATCGTTCTCCCGTGCAACCTCGCACGCCCACTTCACGGTCCGTGGGCCGCTCACAGGAAAAGTCTCAGTGGCTCTCGGCGAGCTCGGCGACGGCCTCGCGCATGCCCGAGAAGCGCCGGCGGGGCGAGCACCGCAGCGCCAACACGCGGGCGTCGAGCTCGTCTCCTCCGTCGCGCAGCAAGGCGCGCAGCAGCAGGCTCCGACCCCCAGCCCCCCCGACGCCAAACCCCGCGGCGATCACGAAAGCCTCGAACTCCACATCGCCAATGGACCCCTCACCGTCGCCGTCGCTCGAGGCCAGAGAGCGCCACTCGGACGGAGCAGCGTCTGGAAACCGCCCTCGTCCGACCGCCCACCCACTCGGGCTCTCCATCAAGTCCGAGCCCGAACCAGTCCGCGGAGGAGGAGGCGCCAAGGCTGGGGCTTCCTCCTCGGGCCCCTGCGCTGGCGGGCTGCTCGACAGGCCGAACGAACGCACCCGGTCGAGTGAACGCCCCATAGCGAAGCGCATCTGGAGGCAGAAGTCCGCGGGGTTCATGCTCCACTCTCGGCCGCACACCGCCACCCCTGCTGGGTCGGCGCCCCCTCAGTTCGGCAACTGTCGTCGATCGGTCATATCGAACGGAACCACGATGCGCAGCGCCCGGGCCGTCACCTCGCGAGGGTACACGTCGCCGTCGGGCGTCACCATATACCGAAGAAGACCATCCTCGTCGGCCTTTTCGCTCGGACCCTGACCAGACACCTCCGCGTACTGCGCGGGCGCGCAGGGCATCAGCGCGACCCGCGCCTGTAGACTCTCGCCCGCGCGCCACTGGATCTCGAAGCGCCAGCCCGCACGAACGCGGAAAGGCATACCTGCCGACGAGGACCCCGACCACTGCGCTGCTCAGCGCGAGGATGGCTGCACCCCACCGCAGAGAGCCCAGCAGCTGCAGCGCCACGGCACCGTCCGTCGCGCTGCCAACCAAGGGTACCCCCCAACGTCGCCCAGCCGCGCTCGGACATGGCCCACTGGCCGAGGCGCGCGGCGGCAGTGGCAACGACCCCCCACGGCATGAAGCGGCCGCCTGATCGGTCTGCGGCAAAAATGCGGAGCACGGCCGTGGAAGGGGACAGACCAGAGCGACAAAAAAATCTGAATATTCTGATGATGATGATGATGATGATGAGGAGGAGGAGGAGGAGGAGGAGGAGGAGGAGGAGGAGGAGGAGGGGGGGAGGAGGAGGAGGAGGTGGAGGAGGAGGGAGGGGACAGCGGGAGGAGGAGGAGGAGGAGTGAACGCGGGGATCGTCTCTTCAGGACGGGAACTCAAGACCACAGGATGGTTGGGAAAGAATGATTTTGAATGATTTGGGATTTTCGGGTGCATCCTAAGAAGTCTTTCGGGCCCGGATGGCTCAAAAATGGCCCAAGATGCCTTAAGATGGCTCCCAAGATAGCATGGCCCAAGTTGGCTCAAAATAGCTTCCAGCATCCTCCCTACAGGTTCCAAGACGACCCAATGACCGCTCCACGTGGCAACGGAGCCTCCCAAGGACGCCCCCGAAAGGCAGAATCACTCAAACTCATAGGTGTGTTAAGTATGTTGGCCTCCTCTCCAGTTCACTTCCGACGGGATCTCGAGGCCTCAAGACGGCTCGAAGGACGACCAAAAAAAGCCCCAAGGGGGAGCCATCAAAAACAAGACGGCCCAAAGAGCGCTCAAAGCGGGCCACAAGACGCGATGTCTCGGGTTCCGACGGAGGCAGGCGAGTTGACACCGCTCACTTTTGGTTCGATGGCGCCATGGATCTGCCCGCGAGGGCCCCGAAGGCCCCCACAAGGGCCTCAAGAGGGCCCGAGGAAGGCCCAAAGGCCTTCAACATGGACCCAGAGGACGCCAAGATGATTTGGGTGTGTTTGCAAGAGGCCCCATCCCCAAAGATCCGCGAAAGCATGTTTGGCTCACTCCTGGGTCTGCTCAGGCTGATTCCGAGCTTCGGTGCGACGACAGCCCCACTCTTTGTTCCGCTCCTTTCTCCTACACTTGATTGACCAAGGCAACTCGCCTTGGCATCGCGTCTGGATGGGCTGGGTGGGCTAGAGTCAGGAGTATCCTTCCTCCGCCTCCACCCTCTCTTGCCCCTGCGTAATCAAACTCTTTCTCCCCGATCCACCTTTCCTCTTCACCATCCTCCAGGCCCCTCTCTATCTCTCTCTCTCTCTCTCTCTCTCTCTCTCTCTCTCTCTCTCTCTCTCTCTCTCTCTCTATATATATATATATATATATCGCTCCCTGTATTTGTCTCTCTTATGTCTCTTTCTCTCTGATCCTCTTTTTCTTCTTCTGATCTCGGGCCAAGGTGCTGCCACCCACCCACAACTACACTGCTAGTACCCGCCATCCTGCGTGCACACATGGGTTAAAAATGGAAGGCCTAGTTATAAAGCTACGAGTTCGGCTACAAAAGCGGAGTGGACGCACTGAAGGCAACGCCCAGCCCATTTTGCCAGCACTCTTCCCTCCCCAGGCCGGTACATATACAGCGCAACTCCTGCAGCAGCATATTTGCCACCTCGGAGCGCTCCATCGACGCACAATCGGAGATTTGCCCCTACCTTCACTTGCTCCTCCGGCTGCTGTCCCAAGTTGTCTGTCCAGTCGGTCCCGGTATCGAGTGCATGATTTGCCGCGTGGCCCGCAGTAGTGTTGAAATCGCGAGGGTCCCACTCCACGAATGCTCCTGCGTTCCGCCGCGGTCGCCAACCTCTGTATAGGAGCTCGTGCAAATGCCGGGCAGTTCGAATGCAAATCGGCCGTACATCATCCACTTCACACACAGATTTGCCGGAGAACAGCTCTGCCACTTGCTGGTTGTCTGTCTGGACCCACAGACGCCTCGCTCCAGCGTCCCACTGCTCCTCCAGAAGGTTGTGTAGTAGTGGCGGTACCTCCCGGATCGTCGTCCCAAGCTTGATCGTGGTCCAATGCGTCCCCGCCCCATCCGCCGTATCAACTCCCAGCCAAGGAAGTCGCCAGACAGAGGCAAGTAGCTCGAGGAATTTGGGAAACTTCGCCATCCATTCTGAAAGACTTCGGCATGTCGCTCGCTGGTCACATCTCCAACGGCACCCCCATGCACTTATGAAGGGGTTGTCCCAATCCGGCGGCTGCTTCCCGCAACTCGTTCGCACGATGCCCAGCTTGCGCCTCTTGTGTTCCGGTGCTATGGCTTTGCACGTCTCCCACCACTCCGCGCTTCGACATTCCCGAAGTGCTTTAGTCGGATTCGCGACGTCCGCCACCTGGAATGAAGTCTCCTTCCAAGCCTCCTTGAAGACACCACGAAGGACCCGGATAACTAAGGAAGAAATGCCGTGTCTCGTACTCCATGTTTCTATCTGCCGAGCGGTCCGTGTATAGTACGATGGCTGGTCCTCATCACTCCGCCGCCCAAGCTTGAGCGCCCTCCGCAACATCTGCAACTCCCATATCCGCAATGGCAAATGGCTCTGATCCTCATGCCTCTCATCAAACTCCTTTTCCTCCTCCTCGTCCTCCTCCTCCACCTCTTCCTCCTCCTCCTCCTCTTCCTCCTCCTCCTCCTTTTGATCCTCGGCATCCTTCTCCTCCTGCTCCTCCTCCTCTACTTCCTCCTCTTCCTCCTCCTCCTGCACCCTGTCAATCCTCCTCAACCTACCTTTGCCTCCTCCTCCTCCTCTTCCTCCTCCTCCTGTTTCTCCTGCCTCCTCCTCCTCCTCTTCCTCCACCCCCTCTTCCTCCTCCTCCTCCTCCTCGTCCTGATCCTCCGCCTCTTCTTCTTGATATTACTATTACTAAAACTCGTATTGGTCATAGTACTAGTAGCAATATTAGTATCATTAGCATGCTTCTTCATAGTGTTACGTGTAGTAATACTACTAATAGTGAAACTATGAATAGCAATGGTCATACTACTACTACTACTACTACTACTACTACTACTACTACTACTACTACTACTACTACGACTACTACTACTACTACTACTACTACTACTACTACTACTACTACTACTACTACCACTAATACTACTAGTGTTAGTAAATCGTATTATTAAAAGTCGTAAATTGGTATTGCTAGTTTTATTAACATTGGTAGTACGAGTAGTATTAGTAGCAATGCTAATGTCAGTATTACTAATAGTTTTGTAAATATGTGTAATTTTATCATTAGTGATATGATTCTTAACAACATCCGTATCAATAATATTCATATGTGTCCTGTGTTTATTGTTCGCATTCTGCTTATATTCCTATGATATATAACCCTTTCCATTTCTCATATAAATATTATGAACCATGTTCTTAATAGTATGACTAGTATACTATTCGTATGATTATTAATACCATACGTCTTTGTACTATCAATACTATTATTTTGAATCCTCCTCCTCCTCATGTTCCTCCTCCTCATCTTCCTCCTCCTCCTCCTCCTCTTGTTTCCCCTCCTCCCCACTCGCTTTCCCCCCGCCGCCCCGCACGCGGGCGACCTTGCGGACGGGGTTCGCAGTCACCGCCACGCCGCAGGCCTCCACGCCCCCCCCCTATCCCGGGCGCTTTCGCGCCTCGCCCAGCTGGAGAGAAAAAGGTGAAGGAGGAATGAGGGGGAGGGCGAGGGATCGAGCGATGGAGGCGGGAGCAGCCGCGGGATGCGCCCGCTCCGCCGACCTCCGCCTTCGTCACTGACGCCCCCAGGAGATGGACGGTTCCTCCTGGTTACCTAACTTCGCGCCCCCGCGCCCCGCGATGTGCGACGCGCGATAAAATTCGTGCCATCGCGCCCTTGCGCCCCTCTTGGAGAAGGGCAACCGCACTGACCCAGATCGCGACGCGCGAAGCACGCTTATCCTGGATCCCCCGCAGGTGATCCAGGATTCCTGGGGGCGTTGTCGCTGGTTCCTGAAAATATTCGCGAATGCGCACGTCCCGCTGGTCCCGCCCTCGTCTAAACTTCGTGACGAAGTCGTCGGGTTTGCCGGACGTTTTCGCTGTCTCTTGGAATTTCCGGGCCCTTGGGCATGCGCAACTCTACATCGGTTGCGGTTCGTCGAGAAGCGCCCAAAAGTGCCAGGACCGTCCGGACTGGCCGCCGGAGGCCCGAAAGTCAACAGGACCCTGCGTCGTCATGGTCGCCGCCGTGGTCGTGGGTCGTCGTCGTCGTGCGTCGCCGTCGTGTGGCGTCGTCGTCATTCGCTGGTCGTCGTGTCGGTCGTCCGTCGTCGTCGTTGTCGTCGTTGTCGTCGTTTTCCTCCTTTCTCTCCTCCTCATCCTCCTCCTCGTTTTCCTTTTCCTCGTCGCCCTCTTCCTACTCATCATCATATCCATCGTCGTCGTCATCATTGCCACCGTTATCGCCAGCGTCGCCATAATCATCAGGATCACAACCAGCATCAAACGAATTGTCATCATAATCATAACCAGCATATGCACCATCATCGTCGTCATCATATGCATCACCTGAACCATCATCAACAGTATTAGCATCGCCAACACCATCACCAGCAACAGTATCCTAATACTCAGCCGCATCGGTTTCATCAGCAACACCATCATCATCAACATCATCAGCAGCAGCAGCATCAGCACCACCATCATCATCAGCGCCAGCAACACCATAATCATCATCACCCTCATCCTCATCCTCATCCTCATCATCATCCTCGTCCTCATCCTCATCCCCATCCACATCCTCCTACTCATCCCTCTCCCTCTTTCCTCCGCGTTCCTTCCGTTTAATTCCTTCTCCCACACGTTGTGCTGACGCTTCAATGGCGGACCTGCACGACCCCCTGCCTGTGCTACGAAAAAGTGGCCATTGCAGGGCCGCACACTTTCCCGGCCTCGGCAATTGCCCGCGCGCAACACAGCGCAAGTAGATCCACGTCCGTGATGACGTAGTGAACGATCCGCTCAAGGGCGGCGCGCTAGCGCGGCAGCACATGGGGCGCACTGAGATGCATCCTTGGTTTGTTAAGGTTTATAGTGTTTAGCTAAAGTTTAGCGGACTTATAGAAAGTTTATCAGCAGTTATCCAAAACAGAGTTATAAACTTTATAAACTTTAGCGTTCGCTTTAACAAGCCATAAAAATGCGATGCTATCAGAAGTTCTTGTGTTACTCCTCGCAGCAGCTTGCACTACGCAGGTTGCACCGCGTAGGATGCACCGCATACTACATAAGTTGTTGCACCGCTTAGCATGCGCCACATAGGTTGTACCATAGCACATAATACACCACATAGGTTGCATCCACATAGGTTACACCGCATACATAGGGGCGGGCGCGTAGCACCAGGTCCGCCGCCGAATGTCGCCTCTGCATCTCCATCTGTCGTCGTGGTCGTCGTCAGGGCCCCGCGGTTTCAGCATGCCGCTTTGGGGTGGAGGAGGAGGACAGCAGCAGCAGGCGCCTGCAGGAGGAGGATGCAAAGGAGCAAGAAGGATGATGATGAGGAGGAGGAGGAGCGGAGCAGAAGACCCACCACCCCTCATTTCTCATCTGCATTCAGCCGCAATGGCTTTAATGCGCAGACATCGTTTCTGGATGGGCTGTGCGGTGGGGCTACGCGAAGCGTATGCGATTTTTTCTCCTGAGCGCAAAGCGCCAGCAAATCCCATCATGAAAACTCCAATGGCAGGATAGTGCCGACGGTGCCGTCTGCGTACGCGCAGTGTTCTACTGCAGCCAAAATGGCTTTGGTCTCCCAACACCCCACTGGAGTCGCAGAAAGTTTCCACACTGCCTTTGCAGTACCAGGGATGCGCCGCGAAAGTTCCATAACCTCCATCATAGAAACAGCTTCTCCACTGACCTCGAAATGCAACTTCACGCGGGCGGCAAGTATGCCGTCGGAGCCGTTCAAAAGCACAACGTCCCCTTGCGCGCATAAGCCGAGCTGGCTAAAGCGAGAATCTTTACCCACATTCACTTGGATATCATCACCTTCCAAACCCAATGCGTCCAAGATCAGCTGCCTGCTCTTCTTGGGCGCCTTGCGGCCCTGCAACAAGCCGACGCCATAATTGAAACTGTGGCTCGTTATTGCTGACAGGTGATGGGCAACGCATTCGCTCAGCAACGACTTGCTGGCTGACCCAGAGATGTTCGCCAGTTCGGTGGCGTATCTCTTTGTCATTCTATGCTTCCTCTCAAGGACGAAGCAGTTCAAGAGCCTCCCGTTTCTTTCGAGTAGCTCAGGGAGGTGGAGAAGCCAATGGCATTTTGGTGTCAGGGACTCATATCCAAAAGCAGCAGTGAAATATTCCAAGAACTTATGAACGCAACCTAGAAGCCTCGCTGGGCTCACGTCGATCCGACTGGTTGCAACTACCAGCTGCGACAGCTGAACGCAAGCTATCATAGCGTCGCAAGCTGCATTGGCTGCCCCCATAGGTCGCAGGACCGTCTGAGTGAATAGCATCAGAACGCCAAGAATAGACAATAAATCAGACGCCTGGCATTTTACGTGTTGGGCCTTTCTGTGCTTATCTTTCCGATCAGCATTGAAAATGCTGTCTAAATGCGTAGCGTGAAATCTTCCAGGGAACACCCAAGTTGCCAAGAACTCAGAGAATGACTCCCATACGCCATTAAGCCCAGCAGATATGAACTCTTCGAAAGTTAGGTAGATCACGAGATTCACAACACCGTCGACGAACAGCGCGTGCATGTAGTCATGCATAAACACCCCTGTTGGGTTGATCAGCCTGTCTAAGGCTCTATCGAGCAGCAAGCCTCGTTTGGCAAATGTTAAACCCAGCGCTTGCTGCAACAGAACGAACTCTTCATTAGACAGAGTCCGCGACATGCGCTCCAGATACCTGGCATTGGTGCGAAGCTCATGGTCAGTGGACGCCACGAGCTCATCGAGATGCATTTCGTTGCAACGCAGCATGGCTGAGCCATCTTCGTCAACAACCCTTGAGTCGGCTGTGAACATATTCTTACAAAGCATACAAAACTTGGACGCGCCGTCGCCCCTTGCTTGCCAAACAGCTTTATGAGCGCCCCCGTCTTGCAACACCACGCCGACTTTAGCAAACAGCCTGAAGCTATCCCCGTATAAGTCAAGGGTCATTCCACCGCATTGGAAATGAAAGCCATCAGGCTTGAAAGAACATTTAATAGCCTCAGCGAATGCTTGGCTTAACCCAGCAGAGAGGGAATTCACAGAACAGGAGAATTCAGTCATCAGCACAAACCAGCTCTCCTCGTGACTGAGCGCGCTCACGCCGAATTCCAAGAAGCTCAAATAAATAGATTGGAATTTTCGCTGGTTGGCTGGTGATAAGGGGTTCCCTGGTGTGACTTCGTCCGAATACAAAATCAAGTTCCATGGCTTTTCGGGCGTCGATGGGTGAAGCATCAGCTGGCGCTTCAAAAACTTCCGAAAATTCACGCTCTCTTCGACAGCTGCCGCTAAGGATGCGAACGGGCAGGCGATGGGTATGCTAGCTGGTTCTTCCTCTGCATCAACGCACGTGAAGCTTTGTACTATAGGGCCGTACTGGCCGACAGTTGTGGTAACAGCATCCCTCGCGGCACGCATGGAATTCCGATCTATGACTTCTGGGGGCCCATTGTCCCTCACGTCCGCCAGAATTGCCGCTAAAGCAGAAGCCGTACAGTGAGGCTTGGAGCGACGGAACTCATTAAGCCTGCGCAGCTTAGCAGCCCGCGGCGGCTGCATCCGAAACTGCGACAGACGCTGCAAAGCCCGAGGTCTGAGCGAAATGGGCTACGGACGGAGACGCCAGCACGCGCTCCAGAACGAGGGCGCGCAATCGACGAAGCGAGAAACATACATTCTTTCTCGACACGCCCCTCCAGACTGACAGCCCGTTCTCGAGAGCCAGGTGTTAGCCGAAACTTAGCACGCAGTGCTTGTATGTTCTGCGAAAAGCCTGGCTATATATATGATAGTGCAACAATTACAGTCTCAGGACTTCCCCCCAGCGTCGTCGATCGCCTTGACGGCTGCAGCCCACGCCTCAGCGGTCGGCTTAGGCCCCCCCCCAGCCCTTGGAGCTCTCGGTGTAGAAGCCCGACCAGCCCATGAGGCTTTAGGCGCGTTCTGCGAGATACTCTGTTACCCTCGCCACCATTCCCGCTCGCTCATGGCCCTGGCGGCCCCCGATCCCAAGACGAACGATGGACACATGAGGCGAGGATTGGGGAGGACGAGGAGGAGCTAGGATGAGGAGGAGCTAGGAGGAGGAGGAGGAGGGAGATGGAGGAGGAGCAAGAGGAAGAAGGAGGAGGAGGAGGGAGACACTTAAGAGGTGGAGGGGGCGAGGAAGGAGGGAGCGAGGGAGGAAGGAGCGAGGGAGGACGGAGGGGGGAGGAGGAAGGATGATAAGGAGGAGGAGGGGGGGGGGGGAGGCGGAGGAGGATAAGGTCAAAACACATTCAAAACAGCCTGAGTGTTTCCACCACTACGAAGAGGGATGATGGTGATGAGGAGGAGTAGGAGTAGGAGGAGGACGTACCCAAGACACCCAACGCATAATAACATGAAACTGTTCGGGCG